AGGTCCTTATAAACCTGGTGTTGGATGCCAACTGGGGGACATCTTTTGCGAATCAAGTCGAGAGCAGTTTCCATGTGTCTGCTCTTTGAAAGGAACTTAGAAATTCTCACCTGTGCTCTGGTCTGGCCTACAAACCAAATTGTAATTTGTATAATCTGTTTTGAGTTCAATAAATCTACATATGTAAATCTTGGCAGAAGCATTATTGTTAGCTGTTACTCTTTGATGGCATCCATGCAGATCCTGGAAGAAACTAGCCTCCACTTGACTGCATTGAATGTCCTCCTACAGCAGCAAAGAGGAACCCATCCTGTGGGAGTGTGAGATGTGACATAATTCTTGTCTATAAAGTAAAAGTAAAAAGTAAAAGTATCCCTGTAACAGGCCTTGGAGGCCCATAGGGTTGTAAGATGTTGAGGTTCCCACATTTTCTAGACAGTTGGCTCATAGATGGCGTTGACCCCATCAGCCCTATGCACTGGCTGCCCATTACCCCCAAGAGTATTCCTGGTACTCATTTCTGTTAGAGGCTGAGTTGACCCCAGGGCCATTGTGTGGCTGGAAGGATTAGGTCAATTGAAAAAAAAAATCCAATGACCTCATCGGGACTTCCTGACCTTCCGGCTTGTACCATAGTGCCTCAACCAACTATGCTACCGCATGTCCCCTCTTGTGTCTTTATGCATGAAATAATTAAAGGCTTAAGGAACCAATCCGCTTCAGTCAAGCGATCTGGCTATCCAGTGAAGTCAAGTACCTTGGAATAACATTAGACAAGGGACTGACATGGAGAAAACAGCTGGACAAAGCTATTAACAAGACCTATAAGACCTTCTGGACATGCAGAGGCATGTTTGGAAAAACGTGGGGACTGAAACCAAAGGTAGCGTATTGGATATACACTGCTGTATAAGACCCATAATTACCTATGCCGCCACTATGTGGTGGTCTAGAGTTAAACAAAAAACAAGTTAGCCTGAACTAAGCAAATTGCAAAGGACAGCCTGTTTGGGAATAATGGGAGCAATGAGAACAGCTCCAACAGCTGCAATGGAAATCCTATTAGGACTCCCCCCACTGCATCTGCAGATGGAAGCATAGGCAACGTTACAAAATTACAGATTACGTTGCAATGATCAGTGGAGATGTAAATGTGAAGGTTTTGGAAACACATTCAAGATTTAGGTCATGAAAAAGGAACCCATCCTACAGATAGGGTCTGATAAAATGATACCGAAACATATCTATGATAAACCCTTCACGATCAGATTTCCGGATAGAAGTGAATGGAAAGAGGGGTTTCAACCCGATAGAAAGGGGGGACTAATCTGGTATACAGATGGTTCCAAGACAAATAAAGGCACTGGAGCTGGAGTGTATTATGATGGAACGGCAGAAACACAGTTTCAGCCTTGGTCAGGATACAACAGTATTCCAGGCAGAAGTGTATGCCATTAAGGCATGTGCAGTTGAGAATTTAGATAGAAACTACAAAAATAGGAATATGTATATTCTATCTGATAGTCAAACTGCAATCAAAGCACTTGGTACACACCAGATCACTTAAAAATTGGTTTGGGATTTCCACCAATCCCTCACACTACTGGCCAGACATAACAGAGTTCAGCTGATATGGGTACCAGGCCATGAGGGTATTGCTGGGAATGAAACCGCAGATCAGCTGGCAAGAAGAGGATCTGAACAACTGTTCATAGAACCTGAACCAGCTTGCGGCATCTCAATTGGAGTTGCCAAGAAAGCAATCAGGGACTGGACTAACAGGGATAGCTTTACTTTTTTTACTTTTATGTCTGTACTTCAGGAGGCTGTTGAGGTCATTTGGAGCAGAAAATGTAAACAGTTGTTTGATTACCACTGTTTTAGACCACCTCTGTGGTCTAGTGGTTGGAGTTCCTGGCTACAGATCCAGAGGTCCTGGGTTCGATTCCCGGTGCTACCAGATTTTCTGAGAAGTAGTGGATCTGGAACGGGGTCCACTCAGCCTTATGAGGATAATTGAGGTGCTACTTGAATAGAAAAGTAGTGGCTCCGGTCTAGAAAACTGAGATTAACAGCTGTGGGAATCCATTGTGCTGACCATGCGATACCATCTATCCGCAAAAGTTGGCACTAACTTCACCGACAAGCGGCAGTCGCTTAGTTGGTATAGTTCACTTGCGGATTAAAAGCCACAGAGTTTTGTTTTGTTTTGGATAGCATTTTTAGTCTTTATTATTTATGTTTATGTGGTGAAGCCTTCATAATGTCACAAGACAGAGCTTATGGCTTATGTTGCTTTGGACAGCATAGCAGTGAAAACAATGGAATGAAATGTATGACTTACAAATGCAGAAAATGTTGATGTGCATTTCATCTATGGCTTTTGTGATGGATATGCTAGAGCTGTACTGAGCATCGGTATCCAGACTGGAGGCAAGCCAATCACCCCAGTGTTTGCAGTGGTCATTTTGACGGAGACAGGTGCATTCATGCAACCGGCACACAGCCACAGTCGATGCAAGTATGCACAATGAAGATGAAGTGTTAGATGTGTATGTTTTAATCCATTGACTAGCACTGATTGGGTTACATAAGAACAAGCCTCTATGAGATAGCAGTTTGGCATACAGTGTATGAGGACCAATTGTATCCTTGTCATGTACACTTTATATAAGGGCTGCAAGAAGTGGATAGTGATCTTCACTTCATTGCCAGTTCTGTTGATGGTTTCTACAGAAAACTGTGGGTGAACCTGAATTTTTATGCAGTGTAATGTGGGCTGAAGATTCACAAGGAGTGGAGTGAACAGTCTCCACAACCTATATGAATGGCCACTGGTGAATTCTCATCCAACTTGATACTCTTCATTTCAAGAAAGCTTTTACATCAGCAGTTGCACTGGAATCATAGACTCTTACCTAATTAGATCATATATGATAGCAAATCATGTCAATTGAATCAAATATGTTGATTTCCTTGAAAGAACACATTCCCTTTTATTGGAAAATGTACTCCTTAATGTTTTCAGCATGATGGCGGCCCTTCCCAAATTTCACACTAAGCATGTAATTGGATGGGGGGGGGGGACATTTTCCAAACATTTGTAGGGGTCCAGTTTTCTGACCTCCATAATCTCCTGATGAGATCCCACTTTATTATTTTCTGTGGGGATGCATCGAAGGGAACGTTTATGCCGACAGAAGTATAAAATTGCAACAACCTGATCAGTTTCATCCTGTGCCACAGAAGTACAAAACTGCAAAAACCCGATCAGTCGCATCCTTATAGGTGCAGTAGACATTAAGGGCCAACCCAGACCGTTGGTTCATGTCTGGGACTCTGTTCAGAGTGCATATGAGCCAAAAGAGGTGAGCATTTCTTGGAAGAAATACAATTGTGTGCAAATGGGTCTTCATGATCATGCTAGTGTTAAATGTAATGTAAAGTTCAAACTGAGGACTCTGGAATCTTTGTTTTCCATTCATTATAATTAAATGTAATAAACTATTATGTTAATAGTACATAGCCATTTGTGATGTAAAATGTAACTAGCTTCTTCCTCCTGGCTCACAGGGCAGCCACTCATGAAACTACAAGCTTGATCTTGACTCACCTAATGTTAGGGAGAGAACTTTGGCTGACCTGCGACCTTCTGTTTTGGGCATGTCTCAGCGAGGAACAACCCACAATCAATCACGTGGCAAATGTAAACACCTTCTTCCTCCTGGCTTATAGGGCATGCACTCACGACACTATGGGCTTGACCCCGGATAGCCCAGTGTTTGGGAGAGAACTCTGCCCCGCGACTTGCTATTTGGGGCACCCCCGACAAGGAATGACCCACAGTCTATCACATGGAAAATTCAGTGGACCATCTACATGATATCCACAGTTATGCCTGCCAGTACCTGAAGCTGACCAGTGACTGGATGAAGACTAGTTATGACAGACTGGACAACTGCGCAGGCTATGACAAAGGCGACAAAATGTGGCTCTGTTGTCCAACCCACATAAAGGGGAAATTATCCAAGCTGCAATCCTCATGGAAGGGCTTGTACAAGGTAGTAACCTAGATAAATGTGATATACAGGATCCAGAGGAATCTTAGATCGAAGATGGTGGTGGTACACCTGGACCAACTGGCACCTTTCCAGAGAAGCACTCAGGATGAGCAGCCTTAAGGAGGGAGCAGCAGGAACAGTTGGATACTAATCACCATGAGAACTGAGCCACAGGGGTAAAAGGTGACACCGATCACAGACATTACAGGTGCAGTCCTTGGAAAGGAAGAAATGGCAATATGCCTGTAGGCTATTCAGAACAATGAAACAACATCTGATGCTGGGCAGCAGATTCTTTATAAGCAAGTATATGCAGCTGTTACTGAGTAATGCCTTCGCAAACAAACATGTTCCCATGGAAATGGAATACAACAACTAACTGTGTTCTCAGCGTGGTCTGTTCCAAGATGTTATTGGAGCAAGAGTCCAGAGTAGTAAGGGAGTCTGTGAAGAGAAGACTTAGTTGGTGCAGTTGAAGAATCCCCACTGTTAAAAGCCATTACCAGGGAATGACTGGTGAAGACACAGCAGACTGAAGTCTTAGTGATTTGTAAAGTGTGGAAATTAGTGATAGTGTTACAGTTACTTGTAGCTGCGATCAGTAAGTGGTGAGTAAATCCAATCTACAATCCAAAACCACGTCGATATCCACCCAGTCATGTGACAGTATACATGAATGCTCAGGGAGTTTAGCATTTAAAGCCAAAGTTTACCTATGCATAAATAGTTTTTATATATGGTGTTTGGAGGATATGAGTAGTTTAAATGGAACAGCCTACATACTATGTGAAACTACAAGCATTTCTGCATAATCTGTTGTCAGTGATTTCACAGTATCTAAAACTTATGTTGCACAGTAAGAGACTTAATTTCAGCATAATGTAAATGTATTTCATTTATGATGAACCCTCCCATATAATACTTTTTCTTTTGTTTCAGAGAAGGAGCAAAGATTTGTAGAAATAACAATGTGCTACCATGTTCTGCAAGGCCTGAAACAACTAAATGAGCAAGGGATAACACCACCTTTGAATATGGGAATATTGCCAGAATACAAGCACAAGCTTTATATCTGCAATTATCGTTTCATCAGAGAATTTACTAAAGGTGTTGCAGATCAGTGGACAGTGAACATCGTAAATCACTTCAGACCATCAGGCCATTCCAGTTAATACATGTCTTCAAGTGGCAATAGAACCCTGATTATCCAATTTGCAGTTTATCTGTGCACCTTTTTAGACATGCTGGCAATTGTGCAGAGTGCCTGTTAAGTTTACTTAGTCCTTATGTTTGTCTGTATGAATAAAATTCAAGAATAGAATGGATTTTAATGAAATCAGATATTGGTTAATTTTATGTAAAATTATGTATCTCTTCCATTTTTGTTTACATTGGACAGTTTTATGTAATAACCACTTTACCTCAAGACCTACCGTGTTTCTGCCCATATCTTGAGCATAATATGCAAAATATTTTTTGGAACAGCAAATGTTTTGAACATAACTTGTAGAGAAAAGTGAAACACATTCTATGTTCAGTATGCTTCTATTTGTCTGTCTTCAGTTTTCAACAAATTGGATTTCCAAATTTCTGTATTCAGTATTTACTTTCATCAGCATGGATAATTGGAAGTATACTGTATAATAATGCAAAATATCTGTGTTCCAGAAATTATTAATTGTAAATATAAGCACAAATTCTTTTGCTGTTATTTTTATACATTTGATGGTAGGTCAGTATTTCTGAGTCATGGTGTATCTGTGGTGAAAGAACAAAATTACGAAAATGTGTAATTGAACTGTGTTCCATTCTAAATTTGTGTGTTGCTTTTTAAAAATGCTTAGTGTATCATATAACACAGAAGTAGGCTCCAAGCGCGGTTTTATATTTGAATAACTTGTGTTAAAAAAAGCTAATTGTTAAAAAATTTTAAAAGTAGTGAATATTGTCATGTGTAAGGTGGTATGTGCAATGAAAATGATGGGTTCTGGTTTGGTTGACTGATTTATGAGCACAGCGCTAACACTGATTTACACATGCTAGTCCTCTCCTGGTAACACAATTAAAACAGCAACTAGTGCTTCAGATCACTCCAAATATTACACATGAATAAAGTCTTCTAATTGCACTTTAAATCTTCGCAAGTTGACAATCTTTTTATGGCTGTCACTCTCTCCCTTACCTTCTACAACAGAGCAGAGCAGAGCAGAAGCTTACTACAGGCAATCAGCCCGCACAGTCACTCCTGGCATCAGGCCCCGCTGGGACCCATGGTCATATTTTGGTTTAGTGTCTAGACCTTTGTTTTTTCCCCCTCTTCATTGGTCATCCTTAATAATAAAAAGGAGGGGTTAGTCTTTTTTTTCTTGAATTGGTGTTCACTTTCTACACCTTATTCCACCTGAGGTTACGTTATTCTCACAGGAGTAAATATGTGATATTAAATACATTTTTCTTTTACACTCTTCACAACTATAAACTGAAATTAAATTCTAATATGTAGAGGGACATCTGTCAATGCAGGAATGTGCAGCAGCCTATGCATAAATTTATTTAACACTCCGAAACGGTAGTCAGACACTTAAACAGTCGCAGGCTTGACCGCCACATATTAATATCCCTAAAATTTGGTACCCCAGAGATTGAGCTGATGTTTGAATAACTGCCATATATACAGAAATTCATGTGGTCATGAAGAGTTTATGGGGAATTTGTTAAAATTAGTCATTCTTCATTTTTAACAGACATAACAGTGAACTTTTTCATGAAGTAACTTCAATACTTTTCTTCTACTCTGGACATTTGTTAGATGTGACATTTTGCAGAAAGGAGTGTACGAAAGGATAAGTGAGGACACTAAAAACTCATCTTTTTATAATCACTGTGCCTTGAAGGTATGTATATGATATGGAGGTAAAACTATATGAATTCTTAACCTGAACACTATTCAGGGACCCTTTTATATTCAGGCTACCTTTACTCCAGGGAAAGAACTCCTGTACTCGTTAAATTTAAGTGGCTTGGTGGGCTTCAGCCATTTTGGACATGGTGGTGAAGGATAATAGTCCCTTCTCAAAATCCTCATTGATATAAAATTTAGGAAAACCATATCTGCAGGGTTATTTATGTAGGATTTGAGGGTTTCACAGTGGTGACTATGAAGAATGACGTCTTCTGGGATATGGCGCCGTGTAGATCTTGTGTGAACTGACATTTCGTAGGAACACATAGCCTTCATCTGCAGGGTAGAAAAATCTGTGAACAAGGAACCAGCATGAGCAAGTGGGTGTTTTTGACTGGTGGCTCAGTTGTGCTAACCACCTCCATACACTGGTTCCTCGTTTGCAGATTCTTCTACCCTAAAGACGATGCGGTATGTTCCTCCGCAACGTCACTTTACACAAGATCTACACGGTGCCACATCCCAGAAGACAGCATTCTTCTGGAGGGGTACTGTTCAGGACTTCTTTGATGGAGATTGTAATTTATTAATTTGTTCATGTAACATGTACTCGTGGAAGGAAGTTTTGTATAAATGTCTAAGGCAAGAAATGTCATTATGTCTGTAAATTTTGGTTCACTGTGTTGGATAATCAAGTCTGAACTGTGTGTTCTTTAAACACACTATAAACATTTTTGAAAATTTCTGTGTTCCTTTTGGAAAAAATATGCATTAATATATCATAGAACATTAAGTTCATCATGGTTTACAACTTATGCACTGGTAGCACTGTTCAGGAATGAAGATGAGAAACTTGGTTGCCAATCAGACAAGACCGTAATCTCCTTAAATGGTTGTATTTAAATTGATGGCTGCCAAACCCCATCTAACCTAACTGACTGGAATGTCATGATTTGTGATGAATCAGTTGTGAGTATATTAGACATTGCCCTCTGTCTGAATACATCTGACCTACATATACAAACTTTTGGGAGTACAGTAAACTTCTGAAGTGTTATCTGTATCAAATATACATCAGACAACTGTGATGTAGTTGCAGAAAATCAGCTATGTGGTAACAAGTTGTCCATGTTGTACTGTAATTTGAATTGTAGGGGCATTCTTGCCATGCAATATTGTGACTCCATTCTCAATAAGAATTTGTAATAGTGACTTTGAATGTTCTGTATTGAATTTATTCTGCTGTACTGATGGAATACTTTATAAAAAGCAACCATGTATATAGATAGACTGGTAATATAAAGACTAGTTTTATATCAGCAGTATATTTTCTAATGACTGTCACATAATGTTCTTTGTTGGCATTCCGTGCTAACAGTAAATTCCTATCATGTGCCTACTTTTCTTTAAACGTTTGTCCTATGTTGGCTGATGTCTGTTATGTTCGCTGCATTTTTGAAGACTGAAATATATCTGTACTTCATTAAAAAGTCATGTGCCTGTATTTATTTGTTAATATGTTAACCGCATAAAATGAATGCCTATAGGAAAGGTCATATCCATCCCTCTTTCTGTCCACATTTTGATAAACACGATTTTTTGGTCCACAATAAAAGTTGTCTTGTACATTTAAGTTTGGTTGTATAACTTGTCTGATATAGCTAGAACTTTGCTGTGAGCATCAGGAGCGTTGTATCCAACGATACAACACACGCAGCCACAAGAGTAGAACACAATATACACACAACATTAGAACATAAGAACGACCCCCATGTGGATGATTAATAATACACAGGAATTTTAAAAATATGACATATGAGATAATAGATTTTAACAAGTTTTAAACACAAACTTTATTATTATATAAGGATGTATACAAATTTAATATTATTTGTAAATGAACATATAAAGGCAAGCAGTGAAATGGTTAACGGATCGATACACCTGAAGATGGCAGCATNGTGGAGAAAACTGCATGAGGAGGAGCTTCAAAACTTGTACTCTTCTCCAAGTATAATTAGAATGATCAAGTCAAGGAGGATGAGGTGGACAGGGCATGTTGCACGAATGGGGGAGGAAAGGAATGCATATAGGATATCGGTGGGAAAGCCAGAAGGAAAGAGACCACTGGGAAGACCAAGGCACGGACCTTCAGGTTCCATACAATGCTTGGAAATTCTTGAGTAGCTGCGGATTTGGCTTCTCAAGAAGGGCTCAGCTCCGTAAGTAAGTAAGTAAGTAATGCAGATTGTTTTATGAACATGAACTTGAGTGTGAGTTGCATATCTGTGGGATCCAGTGTGCTGGGAATGTAAAATTACTATGTAAATGTCGTAAGTCTGTCTGATCATACTTTTATCTGAAAATGTCTGTCTTTGACTTTACTGATGAAATTATCTACATCTAAATGATAATTTTTTTAGTTATATTTGACTTTCACTTTGGGTATCATGCATATTAAGATGCAACTGTAACATGCACTGATGCATTTCAAATACCTGCGTGTCCGACAACACCATTCTGTTTAGTATTTCCGATGGTACAACCAGTGGATTTATGTGCAGATTATGTGAATTTTAGCTGCTCAGCCATTATCTACAGTTCAGTGCAAGAATGGCAACACAACTGAAGTTTAGACCCAATAAAACAAGAATCACACCTTGCAGCCACGCAATCCAGCTGGCAGGGTTCATTTTTGCAAGTTGGTTTCTACAGTCTGTCAAAGGTGAGACTTATCTGTAATTGATATTCTTATCTGATAAAGTATGGTTTCACTTGCAGGGATACAGAAATGCGCAAAATAATTGCTACTGGAGTTCACAGAAACCACATCTTCTCATGTTGGAATTAAAAATTTTGAATTCTCCCCAATGCAGATTAATACATGCCATTCCATCTCCCATTGGGAAATCTGAATGAGGCAAGTACATCATGCTGATCCTTACATAGTTCTCACTCATAGGCAAAATAACGAGTTTCTGACCTGGTTTTATGTACCCAAACTAAAATTAATGACTGCTACTGGAATCCAGGGATTTCTACATAGAACATATTACATGTCCAAGACAATGGAATACAATATTATAGAACAATAAAGTTGAATTAATACCAAAATATATATTTTTGAACTTAAAAGTCTTGATAATCATACATAAATAAAGTTGTCGATCATTTAATTAATCAAAGTCAATAGAAAGGGTCAGGATTGATCAGTGTCATCATTTGGCAAAACTGTTCAGGGCTTAGACCAACAGGATTTCTACTCAGCACATCAGTGAGGATATTGTCACATGTAGGATGGTATGCGTGACAGAATGACAGGTTCTAGTTCAGATTGGATTTATTAGCACTTCAGTGACACACACTATCTCTTAATTACACTTAAATGCAGACAATACAGCGCTATCACTGATTTACACACTTTCCAGTTTACTGCTGCACATGCACTAGGATTCTGTCTTCCTGGTTTTTAACATCATAATTATTTTTCAATCCAATCATTTTTTCACTGTTTGTATTTTGATTTGTTATTAATAGATTAGTTATGATTGTATACAAATGCTTCTATCCTTGATTTTCTGCCTGGTTGCTGACTTGTAATCTTATTTATGACCCATGCCCAAGTCTAGAGAAGAAACAAAGAATGCCAAGGGTCAGTATAGCATCCCTGCTGGAATGAAGGATTGTGGTTTATTTCTTCTTTAGGCAGTGGTAAGTAGTCCAGCAGTCACATTCTCTCTCCAGACAATGTCTTTTTTGCAAGATGTTCAGATACAATATAAGTTGCATAAGTGTATACAACAGAGTGTCCTTGGTGTATTTACTAATACTCCTGAGGTAGTTGTCCTGAACTCATGAATTTCTCCTTTATCAATAAGCACTTCCTATTGTTACCAGTTTCTCTCCATCCAAAACTCAAATTTCTTCCACCTTTCCATAGATAATCCCTACAACCTTTTTAAACTCTGGTTAAATTTTAAGAACAGAATGTAAGAGCCTTAATGTAGGGTGCTGACTGTAAGTTCTACAAGTATGCAGTTCAATGTTTGTCTCATAACACGTTTATTAAAAGCATTGTCAGTTTTTTCTTTCTTTTGAAAACGTTTATTATTTGGCATGGAGAATGATTTCCTGTCCATAATTTCACCATCTTGTTATTTCAGAATACATTTACAACTGCTTTGGTTTTACATACATGAATTTTTCATCTCAACTTGATCCCTACTGTTTTAGTCCTCTTTTATTATATACTTGTACTCACTGTAGACAGTTTCTTTACTCTGGCTGTGTAATACTTTATTTTTCCTCTCTTTCCTTTCACTCAAATTATCTTCCACGCTGGCCATAATCAAAATTAATTAGAAGGATAAGTAAGAGAAACTGATATTTTGCAACAGGCAGGGGTACTTTTATACTCGTACATCACCGAAGCAACTCACAAACCAAGATGCTGCCATCCCCCGCTGCCTAAGTTTTGCATGGGCATGCCGATGCAGAGGTCTGTCATGTTTCTAGCTACATCAGACAAGTTACACATGCCAATTATAACACTGACTTTACCATAAAAGAATAGAGCCAATGATTTTCAATAGCAAAGAAAGTATTTTGACAAATGGGGAGTACTCCATATTTTGAAAACACTTTTCCATTCTTCTTTGACCCACGGGCTGTTTTTCCCTCCATATTTCTTTGCTGAATTTATTACTTATTTATATTTAATATTTCTGAAAGTGGCTATATTTAGAGGGCACAGAATGTAAGAATGTTGAAATTCTAAGTGGCAATTGCTGCAAGAACATTTGTAGTCTCTTCTTTCTACGTAAAATAAGGAAATCTGTCAAGCAATTTACTGTTGTTTCTCAGTGTTGATAAAAAATTCAGACTGGTGATTCAGTATTTGTGTCAGCTAATGTATTACTCTTATATTCTAATACATAAGCCAGATTAACTTATATGAGCTTTTAGCTTTGCTACAGCTGGTGAGCACACACTGAATCACATCAGTGACTTGGCTGCAGTGTCAAATAATTGCAATAAGCAATTAATTTAGAAACAGTAATCAGTATAATACAATTGTAATGATACTCTGAGATTATGGTAATGCAGTGCACCAACTGAGTTCTACATATGCTGATTGCGGGTTACTAATTCTGCCAGTAAGTGGATCTGTCAACAGCAGTCCCATTATGAACTGCCATAATTTTCATGAATCAGTACTGGATGTTATAATCTGATTGTGAATGCATAAAATGAAGCCCCTATTTAGAAAAGAAAGTACATACATCAGAATCTCAATTTATAAAATGTTTCTAATATATTCTAAACATCTGAAAATGGTTCAAATATGTAACAAGTCTGTCCCCTAACTTCCGATTACAGAGTATACGATATGGCACTGAGATTTAAACAATGATATAGATACAAGAATATTTCTTCCTGTTCTTTGAAGCAATTTTCATGGGGCTACAAAAATTATGAAAACTAATTCAGCACATTCATTGTTATTAGCATTATTGCAACCAAAGTGTTAAGGATTTTCTTAAACTTACACAACTTCTTCACTTGCAACTGACTACAAATTAGAAGCTGCCATTTATAAGCAAAACTCCCACTGTCTATTGTGTGTATGCATGCAAGCACAGGCTACTTATTCTGCTCGCAAGTCCAATACACATTCCACCAAAAATGTGCCATAAGCATATACATGAGAACAAGTGCACTGACTTGAATCTAACTTGAGTACCAGACATAAAGCAAAAAGCACTTTAAATTATGCCACTACTTACATACATACACTACTTCATGGGTTGAAATGCCATACATGGAATACAAGCAATTTCTTGATATTACTTACACAAGTGATGGCTTGAATTAGGCATTTATACCTACCTGTAAAATGCATGTTATGGTAATGGCATGTAAACTGTATACGAACCCACAACTGTTTATTTTTCTATTAAATATATCAATATATGTCACCATTCGTAATGAAAATAACGCCTTATAGGACATATGATAGGATCTGTACCATTTGCAAATCCCACCCTGTGACAAAACACTGTTCACTAGACAGAAAATGAGTTCACAAAATGAATTTCACCAATAGTATCATTAAGAAAAGGAACAACATTAGTTTGCTTAGTTTACTATAAACCATATTTTCTGTTTTAAGTATTGTAAACAATGTCCATGAAGCTAATCCATGCCATGTTCCTATTTTGCTTTTTAATGAGCTGCCAGCTTCACAGAGACATTTTTTTTCAGTACACCTGAGGTTTTCACAGCGGTGGTTATGAAGAGTTCTATCTTCTGGTATATAACACCATGTAGTTTGCTGAAATTCAGTCAACGTTTCTTAGGAATATGTCACCTCCATCTTCAGGGTCAAAGAATAAGCAGAGCAAGAAACCAGCGTGGAAGCAGGATGGAGGCTACATGTTCCACCAAAACATTGGTTGACTTCCAGTGGACTACATGGTGTTATATCCCAGAAGCTAGAACTCTTCATATTATTTCAAGTTTTGTATCTGTTCCTTTTACCATAATTAGGGCCTTTCAAAGTATGCAATTTGAACCATCTGAAACAGCAGATATCACAAAACATGTACCTGCACAGTTGTATTCTCTGACATCATCATCTCAACTAGATCTATGGAAGCTGAGAGGAAAGGGAAATCCATATGATGTGAAGGGGAGACTACTGCATGGTGTACTGGCCATTAACTCTTTGACTGGCGCGAAGGGTATTTAAATCCCACCCCTGTCCTGGTAGGCCCTTTAAACCTTATGTCGCTAAAATGCATGTTGTTACTTTTTCCTAAACAACTTCAACAAAAATTGGTTTTTAAAAACGAAATTTTTAGGAACTAATTAAAATACAATATTTTATGCAATAAATGCTTTTCCACACCTCTTTCTTTGTTTTTCTTCGTGTGATAAACATTGAAACATGAAAGTTTGCAGAGAGCCACACCACAGCCTGCACACATGATACTTGTTTCTTTTCTAACCTTGTGATTAGCACTCACGCGACACTTTGTCAGGGCACCATTCTTCTTATTGTTACTGTTAGGAACATGGACCATTTTGTGAATTTTCAAGCCACCCTCTAGACGATTTGCTGGCTCTTTCACTTGTGGTCTTTTCAAGGTCGAGGGCGGAGGCGTGACTGCACTCTAGTCGGACCCAATAGATTCGTCATCCACTTCATTCCTTGACTTTTCTCCCTCTCCACACTGTTTGTTTGGTTCAGTCATTTTTCTACACAGTCCAAT